GCAGACTTTGTGCATAGGGCCAAAGATCCGAGAAGGGGCACCATCATCTGTACAACTGTATGTGTGAACATGCTCAATACAATTGGAAATTAGAGTGCCTACGTTTATACAGGGTAGGCACCCCTTCTTGTGCACTTACCTTTATGAGTTGAGGATGGGGATAGGGAAAATGGGGTGCATTGGAGGTGAGACTGGCAGTTGCAAAACTCCTCTCCACATGTTTAGTCTACTTGTGGAGGCAACATCTGAAAGGAGCTGTTGATTAGGGACATATGGTAGTTTTCTTTTCGATCACTGGAAAAAATGATAGGATTATTTGTATGATATACTAGTGACCAAGAGCACAGACAAACTTGCCCTGGGTGCCAGAATGTCTTGAGCAAACTAACCCCTCCTCTTTTTTTAAAGCACTCTAGTATTTCATAAGAAAAAGTTACCAATGGCAGGAGATGAAATCATGGACAAGTTTCTATAATCTGTAATGGTCTATAAATGTCTTATCTTGCACTCCTCCAGGTGGATATTTCCCAAGTTATTGGGTGTTTGAATGTTGTACATTTTTCCATGTCACACACACTGACTCTGTTAAAGTACTTCATGATGCCCAGCCATATTTTATAGCAACATGGAGTAGTAATAGTTGGAGAATATGTATGAAATATTGACATGACTGGCCAGTTGGGATGGTTTGCTCAGTCTTTAAAGGGAAAGGGAGGAGACTGCTTCAAAGAGTGCTGCAAAACATCACCTGTTTATTCATTGCTGTGCAATGGAGCAGTCTCTGTCAGTGCTGGTGACCGACTCTGGCAGTGACTGCTCTGTTGCACAGTGATGAAGACAAAATTGGGTCTACCTGCTTTTGCTGATTCTTTGGAAAGCTTGCTCCATGCTGATCCTTTTCGGAGGTTGAAGGGGTCAGGGCAGAGCATGCTTTTTAAGGAAGTCCCGCCCACCAGCTGATGCCACCAGCAATATCAGCTGATGGGTGGGTTGGTGTTGCTTTGAGGGAAATAGCCTCATGGGCCAAATTGCACCAGGCAGGCCCAAAGCAAGTCAGAGTTTATACAGGTTGCAGAACACACATGTTTTTAAAAAGAATATGACACACAGATTTTGTTAATGTTTCTTATCCTCCCAGCTTGAACTTGGGATCCTACACACACACACACCTTAGTACCACACCAACTGTTCAGAATCAGAATGGTATCTGGGGACTGATGCCACTTCGTGAGTCTGAGGAGATGCGCATGAACACTGAAATTTAGTTTAAAATGGCATATGAGCTGGCTTCTAGGGAAAAAAACTTCTTCAAAGTTTGGGGCTGTTATAGAGACAGTTACTGCTGGGGTGTTATTGCCGCTTCCCTTCTCTAAAGTAGCTTGTTGTCTGAATGTCAGTATTGCCATTTGTGTGCTCTTTCTCATGGGCATTTCTTAATTTTGTCCCAACTCCTCCCCTCTGAATCTGTGCAATGAGTCCTGGCACTTGCTTTAAAAGCAGTACTTTAGAACTTGTGAAGTTAAATGGTGAATGAAGGAGAATTCTTCTCAGCCCATGTAGAATGAATTCCCTTAACCCATAAGGAACCACAGTCCTCCCACCCCATGATATATCTTAAATCTGGAAGCTGGAGCAGGGCTTCCATATTAGAAGATGGATATCCAGACAGATATGAACCCTGATACTTCTCTTTCAAGAAAATAAGCACTGGATATGTGTGATTATTATGGACTTCTGCCCTTTACTTTTCTTCCATGACTGAAATTCTTCTCCCTTGAGGATGGCAAGCTCTGGTGCAGGCTTCATATCTAAGAATATGAAGCAAAGCAGTTGTTTGTGGAAGCCTTACACATGAATAGGTTTGGGAGACATACTATCATCTCAATTCAATAAGGAAAGTATCAGTTAAACTTGTTTCATGTTACTGGCTGGGAAAGGGGCAATTTGCCTTAGCCCCTGTACGAATCGCAGAGCTAGATTCTGAAATAGGGTTAATTGCTCATGCTCATGAAAATTTATTTATGTGTAAGAGGTGTATATATATGAAATAAGCATGTGTGGCTGGGTGCTGGGTACAGCTGCATGCATTTCTTGGATATATTTTAATATTTGATACAATGGCTCTTGCTGTTCTGTATACTTCCCTGTACAGTTGGCGAGGGCCTGGGTTTTGCCACAGTAAAATATTAGTGAAGCTGTTTTACTCCAGAGCATTACATCTGCCTGATAGCCCTACAGCTACACAGCTTGGCAGCTTTGAAGATTTAAAAGGCGTCTCTCTCAAATACATGTTACTCTATGATGGGTTGGAAGTGACTGTTACTAACTTCTATTTGGCTGTAATGTATTTATTAATGACAATAAAAGGCGCTAGATGGAAAGATGGTAGTTATGGCAAGGAACCTCTAGGATAAATATAATGTTAGGCTACAAGGGCAGCTGCTTATTATTTTTGTAGCTTGGCTTTCCAGTTTCCGAGGCTTGGTCCATTGCTTTATGGAAGCAACATCTTTCACTTCTGCCATTTCCCCTCTTCTCTCTCCCCCTCCCCCGGTGCTAATGCACCACAGTGTGAACCAGCCTATTCTGTAAAAATCTCCACTTGCAAAGTGGCCCCGTCTTTAACCTTTCTGTGTGCATGTGAGTGCATCTCTCTCTAACCAAAAATCCTTCTGTGTGAAGGTTATAAAATGTGTATTTACCTGACCTGCTCATCTTCAATTATCTTCTAATCTGGCCCTTCACTGGTCTCCCAGGTAAATACAGCTTTCGTTCTTCTTTAAGGCATATTATTTACCTCATTAAGTGTGTATTTTGGCACGTGCATTATTTACCTGATAGACTAACGGGTACAGAGGAGCAGTTGGTGTCTGTTGTATAAATAACCCCTAATGTTCGCAAGGGACTCTGCCTCCTGCCTTTGTGTTTTTGGTGGAAAGTCTTTTCTGTTCCACCTAATGGTCATTAAAGGGTCTTTCCTGTTCCTGCTTGCAGCAGGAAGATGTGAATAATGTACATACCAATGGAGGGCAGGTCTAAAGCTTTGCAGTTTTCCACCGCAAGTAGCCTCCATCAGCAGGAGGGAAGAACTAGCACTAACCTGCCAGGGCCTTTGGGGATGAACTTTATGGCACAGTAAGACCTACTGAAAAGCTATGGATTTAGGTAGTGTGTGTGGTGCTGGTATTGCTCAGTCAGCATTGTTGGGTCTAGTAAGGGTGACTCAGCCAACTTAAGATGTGTTCTTGGTCTAACATATTGAATAATTTCATCCTGCACCTTAAGCTAGTTTTGAGTATAGACAAATGATTCAAAGGGTCTTAAAAGTTTAGGGTTGTTCTGTTGTGCAATGGCATTGCCCTCTCCTCTGCTCTGCAGCGCCCCCCCCATCTGCTCCAGAAGTTTGGGAACCCCCCAGAGCATGTTTTGGTGGCACACAAGGAGAGGATGGGAAAGTGTCATTGCACTAGTGAAACTCTGCTCATGCATCATTGGATTCAACTCTGTTTCTCAGGTTCCAGTTTGAGCTTTCAACGTGGGAAGCCGAGAGTGCTTCTAATCCTTGCCCAGTATTCCAGGGTACAATATTATAGGAAACCTCTGCAAGGCTGTAACTTTATCTTGGAGATCCATTTAGGAAAGGTGCTGAAGATCAAGCATCTTGAAACGGATTTTTTTGGGGGGGGTTGGGGGTGGGTAGGAGGGTTCAGTGCCGAGGTCTTAGGTATGTGTATGCAGGTCTCTTGTGGTCCGAATGAGTTAACAGGTGAAGCTTACAGTTGGTTGTCTTTAGACATCTGTAGTCTAAGCTACTGCTATAGAAGCTGCACAAATATGGTACAAGTAAGTAGCACTGAAGGTAGTCACTGATCAGTATGATTTAAAAGTTTATTAATCATATATATACATAGTTTGCAGTGATACCAAATAGCAGCAATTTTTTTAAAAACAACAACAACAACAACCTTGTTCCTCCAAGGAGTTCATTGTATGTACATAGTATTCCCTGCATTGTATCCACTGAGATAGGTTAGGCTGAGAGATTGTGACTTCTTCAAGGTCACCCTGTGAGCTTCATACTCTAGAAGGGAGCTGAACATGTGTTTTCCTAGTTTATGTGCAACTCTACTCATTCTATTCCGGGGTCAGCAAACTTTTTCCACAGGGGGCTGGCTCACTGTCTCTCAGACCTTGTGAGCGGCTGGACTATATTTTTTGGGGGGAGGGAATCCCCCCCCACAACACTCCCCTCCTTTCTCCACAGCACCGAATGAGCCCCAGTGGCTGCTTACCTGTGCCTTGTGAGTGGTAGGGGCTGGCGGTGGCGAACGGACGATGAGAGGTGCGAAAGGGCTGGCTCCAGAGAGGGGCTGCTTAAAATGGCGCTCAGCCAACCACGGCTCAACAAGGCCCAGTCCCCTTCCTCCTCTAGGCAGGGCAGGGAGAAGCCAGGAGGAGGGAGGGAGGAGGCGCCGCCGTGGTGTGTGTGTGTGTGGGGAAATGGCACAGCATTAGATCCGAATCCCCACGCCAATTCACGCTGCGGACCGTCTGCGGGCCATTGTTGAGTCTGAACTGGGCCAGGCATAGTAACTTCTAGTGTTGGCCTCTCATAGTTACTGTGCTCACCAGATGCTCTCTTAGCTCTATTTTCGCTTTTTGGTAGCAAGTATAAAAAAAGGGTTTTGGGGGGCAGGGGTTAAGCATTTGGGAAGGGAGGTGTATAAAGGGTTTTTATTTCTCCTGCTGTTTTATTGAACTGCATTATATGATATTTTAATAATTTGATTCTTGCATTTTTATTGTTCTAGTTATTTTGTTGTTGCTGTGGATACTTTGTTTCAATGGCAGGGTGTACGTATTTTAAATAAATATTATGTTAATAAGAATTAATTTCCATCTCTCCACCCAAACTCTTTACTGCCATCATGGAAATACAAATTTTGATCTGTAAAGTGTGTATCTGGGAGTAACACCAGCTTCTTTCTCTCTCTCTCAAGTTCCAGATGCTGCTAGGTGTTCAATGGTAGCACTTGTCCGTACCACAGCAGCAAGGCTTCACCTCAAGTTACTCCCAAGAGCGAGGAATACTCTGCGCTCCCTTCTGCGGTTTTTCCCCCAGCGGTACGGTTCCACTACAACCGGGAAACTGGCGTCTCACGGCTTTGCTTCCATGGCAGCAATGTCATCCTTTCCCCCGCAGAGGTATCACTACTTCTTAGTGCTGGATTTTGAGGCCACATGTGACAAGCCGCAAATCCACCCACAGGTAATTGTTTGGCTTTAGTTTGTCTAGTTTTCAACAGGAGACCTTCTGTTTGGCATTGAGGGCTTTGCAATCTGTGCCTTCCAACATGTTGCATCTGAAGAGTAGTTGTTTCCTAAGCATTTTTCTTTCCCTTTTTTGAGATATCTATATCTCACTAGCAGATAATGTAGAACCTGGATTAGAATATTCAGATCTTAGGCTTCCTCATAAGCTCACACTTTGGCAATCCACTCTTACACCCTCAGTTCCTCATCTTTAAAATGAGAAACTGCTTACTACACAGAGTCATTATGAAGACAGAAACGTATTCTGCATTTAAAAGCGCTAGAGAAATTCATAATAATTTGTCATATGTTTTCCCTTTGTTCACTCCTGTAAGTTGCTGATCCACCTCTTTGTTTTTCTCTTGACATGAGGAGCTTCATGATGCATTTTTTTATCGAGCCTTTCCTCCTAAGAAAGCATGGACTCTGGAGGAAAGCTCATCTTTTCTAAGTTGTGATAATGCATTTATTGTCCTTTACACAGCCTGTGTTCTTTTCAGTGGGAATAACCAACTCCCCTAATTTGCAAGATAGTGAAACGGCTTTGAGTGTGAATGTATGCTGGATTTGACAGAGGAGCTGGAATTACAGCACCTCAAATTGTTGACTTTCCCTGTTTGCATTTTTCTTACTCAGTGGTAATTTTGAAGTCCAATGTTCTTTACCACTTTAAAAGGTACCTTCTAGCTGTTCTGGGCCTCTGGATCAATCTGGATTGCACAACTTGCTTCCGCAATTTTGCTTAGAATTTACCATCCTCGTGGAAAATACATCTGGAAACACTGCGTTGGTTCCCATATTGCCAGTTGGGTCTGTGTTTCTATGCAACACATACTTAATATTCTGCAATAAAAAATTATAAAAATATTCAGAAAGTCAAATTTATTTCTTTGCTTGGGTTACTTGATTAAGAGTGCAATCTGATGTGGGGAGGAATGGGGAGTAAATTGGTGGATGGTCCACCACTCCCAAGCCCCTGCTGGCATGGACAGTCCAGGATGAGAGGTGGGGGGGGCATACTTACCTCTCCCTGCATTCATGGTTGTCTATTTTGGCCAGCGCCCCCCTCCCTGGAAGATCTGTTTCGAGGCTTGTTTGGATGGGAGGACCATTCCTAGGGGAATGGGAAGGGGCCTGGGATCCAGTGATTACAAGGCTGCCTCAATTGTACTCCTGCCCCAGAACACCCTGTTTGGGGCCCCAGTGCTGACTACTGTCAGTGGGAACACTGCCAACAGTAGATAAGTGCTTTTTCACTGGCGTAGTAATGGCCTCTGCAGTAGATGTGGCTCCAGCCGCTGGAGCTCTTTTCAGTCAGCAGAGGACACGCCACATCCCCACAGTCCTAACTCCCAGGTAGCAAGTTGATCTGGTGTTAGGATTGCTCAGCAAGTCTAATTAAAAATGGTGGCATTTACAGTTTGGGAAGTTATTCTGGCAGAGCGGTGGAAGGGAAAGAAACACCTGGGATACTGGGAGGCAGTACGAGTGCAGATAGACCTAGGGAGATATGTTAGTCTCCTTTCCTTCATGATCACCAGAAGCCCAAACAATATGTATCCCTTCTGGTTTCCCCTTCTAAATGCGAATAATCCAGCATTATTCACAGCTAAGCAGGGCAAGAAAATTAATTTAAAAAATGAAAGTGGGGATTCTCAGGATATTGCATATGACTGTTATGTATTATGCAGCTGAGATTTCTATACTGTTATGGCTATGGAGATCTCTAGTCTCCCTGCTTAATATTTTGAATTGGAAAGGGTAGCTAAATCAAAATGAGCCTCCTCGTCAGCATGGTAATGAACACTCAGGATTGTGGGTTTCAGTAGAGCCATGTCATCTGGCTGTTTTTAATTCAGGTTTGCAGTTAGAATTGTGAGCCGATATGGTTAGTATATTATTTCATTGGGCTGAAAAAGTGTGTTTCTTCCAATATGCATTAAGCATTCAAGTATTTTAAAGCTCTATTAAGCACTTTACTCCTGATTTTTGTTTTATTTGTTTGTTTCTAATGGGACCATAAGCTTGAAGGGGATTGTGGTGGATCAAGGGCCCACCCCTTTTGTATTGTACTCTTACCTAAAGTTATAGAATACTAATGTGGGTGGGGCATGCTTAGCTTAAATGGGTGTGTGTGGGGGAATTGGAGGATGGGGGGTGTAGATTTCATTAAGGTCCCCTCCTTTCCATTCCCCAATAATTCATGCCCTGGAGAATACTGGAGTGATATTCACTGTAAATCACACTACCATCTTCAGCTTCCTTTCTAGGCCCTCTTCTTACTTTGTTTCAAAGAGTGTTTTTAATCTGTGCCTCAGTTCTTAGAGAAGATGCAGCTCAATATTAGCCATCTTGTAGATGTGCCTGCTTTTATGTTACTTTGCTGAGTGAAGAGGAACTACAGTAAGCCCAAAACTTACATTCACATTACATTCTGGGGGTTGTGCCTGAAGCCAAAATTGTGTGTAGTTGAAATGCACTGGGTTCAGTGCCGGGTGGGATTGCCAAAGTCTTTTTTCCTGGAATCTTGGCCCCTTTCTGCCCCGTATTATTTTTTTTGCCACACACGTAAAGCTGAATCTTCACAAGTTAAATGCACATAAGTCACAGGTTTACTGTAACCTGAAATAAACTGGCTGAAAACAATCTTCCAAAAGTGTGTCTGTGGGAAGGCACAGTTGATTTTTTGAGAGTAATTCTGCAGGAAAACCTTAACTTTTCTCTGGCTATTTCCTGTGCACCCAGCCTTGGGTGCAAAGTCCTGTCAAAGCTGTAAATTTGCTCTAGCGTGTCCCTTTGGACTTGTGTTCATTTTGATGCAAAACCATGATGCATGTGGAGCTATTTTACAGCTGGTAGTAAAAATGGAGCATGAGTGGAATACTATTACTACAACTTTAAGGAGCTATGCCCCCCAAGTCCTTGCTGTGGAATATGTAACAATATGTGCCGTTGCAACTTGGCAATATATTTTGTGGGGAAGATAGTGCATTAAGGCTGGACGTTATTCAATTGGATCTTTTCATCAACTGTGCCCAGGGCTCACCTGCACCATGCATTCCTTTGCTCAGGGCTGTCTTGCTATGCTTTTTGTTGGAACCTGTAGAGACACTAAAGAGACTTTACTCAAAAATATCTTACTAAAAATGAGAACTTGCTCTGTGTGTCAAAGTTATATATCTTTACTTGTGTGCATTTAATGTGAATATAGAGAGGTGCTTTTGGAGAACAAGCTGATGTGTAGATTAGCTAACCTATGCTTGCAGAATCCTTTGCTGAAAATTATTTAAAGAGCTTCATTTTAGAGCCCTGGACTTCAGGACAGATTGAAGAACAGCAACACCTGAACTAACCAGCCATTGCCCTTGTGAACTTCAGCGTAAGAGGTTTAGCTTCAGGGCATAAGTCCAGGTTTATTCTGAGAAAGCCATCGTCTTAAAAAATGGAACGGAAATTACTCCTGATGGCTTACACAATGAGAACCAGTAGTTGTGTTTTGGATCAGCCTGTAGGATCAGGGCCATAAGTCAGAAATAAAATAGAGGGCCAGGCATGGCAAAGCTGGGATATGGAGCAAGTAGCCTAGACCCAGGGCTGTCCTGCCCATGAGGTGAAGTGAGGAGGTGCCCACATGGGCAGCGTACCTGCCTTGCCACCTCCACCACCAGCAGAGAAGCAGCAGCTGCACTGGTTTTGATTCATTCAAATAAGATAAAAACAATCATTGGGTAATTTCTGTATTATAATGACATCTATAATTAAGACAACCAAAATAAAGATGCCAAAAAAACTAAAATTAAGTTGGTCCACAATACTGGTGCTAGTAAATGCATTTTAGGAGCCTACAGCAGCCTGGATTACGGTAAGTTCAGTTCAGAGCGGGCAGGGACTTCCTACCAGGCTTACAGCTGACTCCCTTTCTTCTCCTCTAGAGGAGGTTGGCAGCAGCAAAAGGGGAGGGCTGGGGAGAGCAATGCTGGTTAGTCCTCTTTGCCCACTTCCCAGGTATTCCAGTTGCTAGTGCTGGACCTACTTCTCTTCCATAGCTCAGTGGTAGAGCGCTTGCTTTGCATGCAGAAGGTCTTGAGTTTAATCCCTGGTATCTTCAGGTATGGCTAGGTGGACTGATGGTCTGACTTGGTATAAGGCAGCTTCTTATGACACACAAGGCCCAGTGGCTGAGCTTCATGCTCTGGCAATGGGGGGCGGAGAGCAGGCGAAGGTGGGGCTGGCGGGCGTCTTGGGGGCATGGCACGCCGCCTGCGGGGGCGTGACGCCCAGCACGGGCGGGGGGCAGCCACGATCACATCCCACCGGGATTGTGCTGCCGGGGGCGGTGCGCTCCCACCCCCTCCGCCAGTGACAAGGCCCCACCTTGCTAGATCCCTGCAGGGGAGCTTTGAAAACAGCATTCACAGCTCCAAGTTTGTAAGAATCCTTTGACACGGGCTAGTAGTGCTTACAAATTTAGTTAATAGCTTGAAATCTGCAATAAAAGAAAATGCTCAGCTCCAGTAGCAGAAAAAGGCAGTGTCCAATGTATCTCATCTAGTGAGGGTGTGTTTCATTTTTTTTGCTTGTAGCAGTGCTAGTTGGTTTAATGTTTAATTAAAGTAACGTTTCTACTAGTGTAATTGTTCTATGTAACAATCTTCAAACAATATAGTTTTTAAAAAGGCAGCAAAGTGCCCCAAGAATTCCAGAGCCATGTGCTCTGGAGGTACTCAGATTTATTTCTTTATTATAGCTCTCACTAATGGTCACCGAAAATGACATTTCCTGTTACATCAGTAGCTTTGTGTAGTTGCATTGTAGTGTATACAGTCTGATGGGTGGCATTCTTGATCATAAGTCTAAGTGTGTGTCCCTAGATTCTTTGCTTTGTCTAAGTCTATGCCTCAGGCACATGCATTACATTCTTTGGAGTTCAGAAACCTCATACAACCATTGCGTATA